CTCATTTTTGTGCCCAGGAACCCTTAAAATTATTAAATTTCCTGAGGGGGGCCCCCCAGACCCCCCGCCATGTGCTTCCGCGCCTAACGGCACCCACTAGCTGTGGGGTGGTGTGCCCTTTTTGGGGGATGTGCCCTTGAAATCTGGAAAAATACTGTCTAGCTTCAGCCATGGATCCGCCCCTGAAGCCGAATACACTTGACCCCCCATAGCGCTATGACCATAGCTAGCCTCGCGTTTGACCGGCGGTCTATAAACACGCTTCGTATTCATACTAAACATGAGTCATACTAAACATATTATCACGCTGTAAGGTGTCTACCGGCAACTACGAGTCGAAGCCATTCTACTGGATTCGACTACAGGCTTCGACCCAGAATCCACGGCAAGCCAGGCAAGGCCACGGCTGCCGTCATATATAAGGACCGCCTGGGATCAACTGATTCGTGCTTCATTCTACCAGACGACCAGGACACCGACCGACGTAAGGATCAAACCCTTACAACGCACACAGATGAACGGCAACACCTTGAACCGAGTCAACCGCTAGTCGCTACGCTATTTCAAGAGAGCTCATGTTATCCTGTACCGATGAAAATAAAGATTACTTACTTGGTTGCAGCAGCATCTCTGGATACGATTGTTCTCACGTGCGAAATGGTAAAAGTATGCTATGCAATATATCAGGGGAATAACCCAATACGGCAATAGAAAAAATTAAAAGTAAAATGGCTACGTCAGGAAAATTGAGATTGCACAATATATAGACTGGTACTCAATCCCACCTTGATTATTCGATCGATCGAGTAACTAAGCCGAGAGGTGGAAGCGGGTACCAGTCTACCTAATAATATCTTCACACAGCGCCACCTACAAGTCATGTGACCTGAACACAAAAGGCACGAAATTGATCCTCCCGATTTCAACAATAATCATCAAAATGATGATGATAATAACACGGTACCATACGCCTACCGGGCACTTTACAGTCTATGTGATACGCACAAAATATAAACGAGATAAAATATGACCAGCAGTATTATAAAGGTTAGGCCATCGAAATGTTAGGCTACTGGCACTGCCACTGGCACGTACTGCAGCAAACTGCATGCAGCTGCATGCAGCGCCTCCCATCGCACCAAAGATCCTAGAGTGCCGTAGGCACAAGATAAACCACTCTCCAATAATAGCGTTGTAGGTCATGGGCATAGAGTTATATATTAGACTATATTAGACTATTATATATTATAGATATATATATTTATATATATTAGACTATATATTAATACAACTCTATGGTCATGGGTCGCCACAACCGCCATTTTAGGAAGCAAGTTTACACGAATTTCCCGGATGTTGCTGTATCTGCTACTGTGCAACTGTCTGCTGTGTGCTGTCAGCTCAGCTTACTGTTCTGCTGTAAATTGCTCGAATCATCAGTGTAAGCCCGACCTGTCTTTCTTCAGGTTCCCCAAGAATACGGAAAGGTGAGAAAACATTCTTTTTTGTCGAAATCCATCGTGAAAGAGTTGTTCAATCTTCGTTGAAACATGTAGTACCAGTGGCAGTGCAGTGGCTCTCTTATTCTTGTTGTTTGTGTACAGGGCGTACGTGCGGTGTTGTGTGTTGCAGATGAGCATTTAAACGGCATTTACAGCAAGTTATCGACAATAATAGGCGAAATAGAGTAGAGAAACATTAATACTTTGATAGTAGATACATTTAGTGTTTATTTACCATTATTTGTTTGAGACGGTCCAATGAAGTGCCTGTGCACTGTACCACTGTCGGACACTACACCACTGCACTGTGTACATACTAACATAGTAACATCCGATTATGAATTATTGTTAGATTTTTGTACACTTGAATGAGAGATTTGATACAGCTATTGGCATAAAAATATTATCTATTACATTATATTATAATATATATATGTGTGTTAACCATGGTTATCCATATTATTTCTATGTATCAAACAGACACGGAGCGGGTTTTGCTTGTGGAGTTTGGTACTGCAGTGCAGTGCAGACTGCGAGCGCAGCTTTATGTAATCGCTGTGATTTGGTCTGATTGTTTGTAAATGGCGAACGTAATTCGCTAAAGTTAATTAAAGAAGGGTTTCTGAAAAACAATCTTTTAAAACAAAAACTTTTAAACGCAAGTCTGCACTTGAATTACACTGATTTTTTCTCATTGGATGGATTGACTGAATATCTGAATGATTTAGATTAACTGGTACCTAGTCCTACACAATGAGAGCAGACCCATGAAATTCACCATTTCAGATCTTCAACAATTTGGTTGGGAGGATCTATAATCCCTTATTGTCATTAGCATGACACGGCCCCCTCCCCAAGTGAATTTTCTTGTCAGTATAACAAATTTATGCGCCGTTTATGTGGAGATATATTGAGCCTTCAGTATACATGTAGCTGATGATTTCTTTTTCAGGAACACTATTGGTCAAGTAATGCTGGGGACGTTCACATTCCATTCATGGGCATTTGTTTCCTTCTGCATGCAGTAACGCTCAAAGAATGCATGTACTACAGCAGTGTGCCATGGATTAAACCCTTCAACTCTTTTATTCAAGGGAGAAATGTTGCACCCTCAGGGTCCCTCACCTTGCAAGCTGTTTTGAGAGTCTTGAGTTGACACCGTTTCCTGTGATACCCAGTCCTGAAAACAGTGTTGCTTCTGTTGCTAAACATGTTAGTGTACTGAGCTGTTGCTGATGTTTCAAAGTCTTGTGTGTGAAGGATGATGTGAAGTCATGCTCTGGATGTAGAAAACAATTCCATCTGAACTGTTTGCGATGCATACAGACTGGAGTCTATAAGTGTCTGTCATGCTTGCCGTTGCTGTAAATACATAAACAGTTAGCCAGCCACAGATTCATGTCTAAATGACACATGTTTGATGTGTTCAACGTGAAAGGCAGTTGAGCGAGCGCGCGTGAATGTATTATAAATTTCATTTACTGTAACGGCTCTTCAAGCTGTTGCCAGCTCTAGATTAATTGTTTTCAAAGTGGCCACAGATGGCTGCAAGGCCGTACGCAGGAAATTTTCTGTAGGGGGGCAAAGGTACTCCCTATGCCCCTTGTGCCCTAACGTTTCGCAATTTCACATTTCTGTATTTAAAGTGTAATATTTCTTTGATGATTTAAGATAACCTTTTGTCACATTTCTATTTCATTTCTAAAAGTGTACAGTATTTGTCCCATTAAAAGGCATACTAGGCTCTAGGGGGGCAACTGCCCCTGCTGCCCCCTGCTGTGTACGGCCCTGGATGGCTGGAACAGAAAAGCAAAGACAGTATTTTGTATGGATTTCATGTTCTACTATCATGCCGCGAGATGGCGTTGTGTACGATTCAGTGTTTACTTCTGTTCCGAGTTTAATCATCATTCTTGAAAACGTGCATCCTGATCAAATTTTTCGAATTTTTATACTGTTTTGGACTTTATTTCGTCGAAGTACACGTTTGACACTTGCGGCATCTACCGCTCAACCGATTCTACCACTCTACCGCTTGCCGAAAGCTGGTGCTAAAATTTGGCTCGGGCCTTGTCCGACGTTTTCGATGGGACCAAGTTGTCTCGTGCCAAATTGGCACGGCCCGAAAAACCGTCCGTGTGAACGCTCGGCTCAAGCCAAATCTGGCGCAAGCCTAATTAATTAGGCTCGGGCCAAAAGCGTCCGTGTGAACGCGCCTAATATCAGTGCCATCTGTGCACGCCATCTGTCGTCAATCCTTAAAAACAACGGTAAACATTTTCTTAGTAGGTATCTGGGGAGAGATAGTAAATATATAAATAAGTTGTGGATATGGTTGGGAACCCTAACCCTAACCATAATCCTAACCCTAACCCTATCCATAATTCTAAAATAAAACAAAATTAGACAAAAATAATTAAAAAATAAATAAATAAGAGACAAAATTAGCCAATCAGAGCCGTCCCCTAGCGAATCACTATCTCTCCCCTGTGCAATCACTTTATGTACCTTAATCACTTTGCCTGCACAGGCTATACTGAAGTTTTTTTCTTGTATCTATTTTTTCTTCATGTTGTATATGCACTGCTTTGTACTGTATCACTCAAAATTACCATTTTAACTGCCCAACACTATTGCACTTTTATATCTATACAAATGTGAGTGTGTGCGAAATATGTTATGTTTGTAATGTGGATATAATGGTGTACGAACCGAGTGTCGAAATGATGTGCTAAAAGGGTACTACTTGTACAAAATTTGATGAAGTTTTTTTGTGTATTAAGTTTTTCTTTGTGTTGTTCTGCACTGCTTTGCATTGTACTCACTCAGGAAACATCATTTCTACCGGCTAAACATTTACCGTAATCAGTTTACCTGTAAAGAATATGCTGAAGTTTTTTTCTCGTTTATATTTTTTCTTCATGTATCTGTTTCTGTTTTGTATTGTATCACTCAGAAAGCTTCTTCTTCTTTTTTCTTTTTTTTTCTATATTTTTTTTCTTTATGCTGTATTTCAATGTTTTGTACTGTAACACTGTATCACTAAGAAATTTTGGGGATCGTGGTTATATAGTATAGTATGTACAATGTTATGTTGGACCACAATGGAAATAAGTGTGTTAGCAACGTTTTTTTGTGTTTTCATCCTCGATAATTTTCTAGCTGCATTTTGTTTATTTATGCTGTTATTGATGTAAAGTTATGCTTTAGTAATTATCGAAATAAATAAATCTAAAAAATCTAAATCAGAACTGTTTTTATTGACGCTTAACCCGCCGTCTAGCGGATCACTAACCCTAACTTGTGCAAAATTTTTAATTTTCTCATTGTTTTTACAACACATTTCTAAGACAAAACATAATTGCACTAATAAGAATATTATTCGTCCCGTGACAAATATTTTAAAATATTTCGCTACATATTCTCTATAAAATGTGAGCATAGATAGCGCTATATAGGCTACTTACCCACAAAGATTTTCTCACATGCTAACCGAGAGGCAACAACGAACAGTTCGCGATTATCAACATTGACAAACGTATAATGATTTTCCTTGTTTAGACTTTAGAGAGAATTATCTTCATCCAGAATGGGTTCTTCGAAGAGAAAAGACAGAGAGCGGGAATCGAAGAAAAGACACCACAGAGACGAGACGGAGGAGGAGAGACGCGAGAGAAAGTCGAAGAAGAAGAGGAAGCACGACCGGCACAAGCACGACAAACGACCGAGATCGGACGACGGCGACAGACACGAGCGACAGAGGACCGGCGACGACATAGGTTACGTCATCAGCGACGGAGAGCTGTACGAACCGGCGCCGAAGCATCGCAGAGACGACAGCGCTTCCTCAGCAAGGGATCAGGGTAGGTTAATAAAGGGGAATATAGTCACAGGCTAATATAGCAATTTTCTGCTCTTATATATGAGAGCAAATGTTTGTAGCCACTGTTCGCTAAGGTATATACTATATAGTAGCAAAAATTTGTAGCTGATACAATGGCTACAAATCTGCTACATATATATGTAGCAGATTTGTAGCCATTGTATCAGCTACAGATTCGATGCCTATAATCTATATATATGTAGCAGATTTGTAGCCGTTGTATCAGCTACAAATTTTTGCTACTATATACCTTAGCGAACAGTGGCTACAAACATTTTCTCTCATATATAAGAGCAGAAAATTGCTATATTAGCCTGTGAATAAATACCCTTAATAAAGCTCATACTAGGGTCTATGTCCCCCAGGGCACTGCCGGAACTAACCTGTATGATACAGCTATTACAGGCGGTTCCGGTTCCGCTTCACTACACTTCACCGCCTGTACCCCTTGCTTCTTCAGCCCGCTTCGGGAAACAAGAAATGATTGCGCCCAATCAGAGAGCTGTAACGGGCCAATCAGCCAATCAGCGAGCAGGCTTTTGCCTGACGTCATTTCTCCAGTTATTCAAGTTGCCTGATCGATAACGAGGCTTGCGAAACGGCAGGGTTGAGCTCGCGTACAGGCGGTAGATAGTGTAGTGAAGCGAAACATACCGCCTGTATCATACAGGTTATGCCGGAACTAACTCTAGTACTATAGCCCGAGTTCGATAAACTGCCGCAGGGCTATAGTACATTGTCGGCTGAAAATACCAACTACGACCTGTTACCACCTGTCCCCATGAAAAATGGATCGCAAAACGCAAAGTTATCGGGCTTTTTAACACTTATTTATCTACATGGACATATCACCTATCTTTTTGAACAGTTTCAACAACTTTACACCATGTATTTGTCCTTTTATTCCACAAAGTAAGCACTACTGGCATTTCATTTTCAAACAAAGTGGCGTGCGCACGCGTGACGTCACCGGTATTGTATATACATGCCCCATAGCTGCCATGTGTTTTGCGTACATATCCGGTAACGTCACGCAGGCGCATGCCACTTTGTTTGAAAATGGAATGCCAGTAGTGCTTACTTTGTGGAATAAAAGGACAAATACATGGTGTAAAGTTGTTGAAAGTGTTCAAAAAGATAGGTGAGATGTCCATGTAGATAAATAAGTGTTAAAAAGCTTGATAACTTTGCGTTTTGTGATCCATTTTTCATGGGGACAGGTGGTAACAGGTCGTAGTTGGTATTTCCAGCCGACAATGTACTATAGCCCTGCGGCAGTTTATCGAACACGGGCTATAGTACTAGAGCTATGCCGGAACGTACCCTGGATACGGTCCGGTATATACCTAGATACAATAATGTAACCCAAACCCAAGAGGATAGGGTTACAAAGCCTCCCTATCCTTTTGTGCGGAGGAATGCCCGAGTGAATCACTCGGGCCGGTTTGCTGGTGCGTTTTCAGAGACTAGAACTTCCAAACTTGGTTTATTCTCAACACGAACCTTTCTCCGCTATCTGGGAACTTACTATGTATCGCAATACTCTGTATTAAACTAATAATAAACCTGTTACAAAAATTCGAAGTGACGAGCGCGAAATATACTGAGCCGCCATTTCTGTGACCTGGACGTTACTTCGTTTGGAGAGCGGATTCACGACCAATCGGAGGCGCTGTGTTGCCGATCGCTATGCGCATTGGGAATAGCGTACCGTCACAGCGTCAACAGAAATGGCGCTCAGTATATTCGCGACCTCAGACTTCGAATTTCTGTAACACGGTTATATTAGTTTAATACAGAGTATTGCGATACATAGTAAGTTCCCAATAGCGGAGAAAGGTTCGTGTTGAGGAATAAACACCAGTTTGGCAAGTTCTTAGTCTCTGAAAACGCACCAGCAAACCGGCCCGAGTGATATCACTCAGGCATTCCTCCGCACAAAGGATAAGGGAGGCTTTGTAACCCTATCCTCTTGGGTTTGGGTTACATTATTGTATCTAGGTATACCGGAACGTACCCTGGTCACTATTTGATATGGTTAGGATTATGGTTAGGGTTAGGGTTAGGGAGTAGGCGTAGGCGACTCCCTAGACTCGTTAGTGGAGTAGGCGAGGTACGGTTCGGCATATAATATAGTACCAGGGTACATTCCTGTATACCGGACCGTACCCAGGGTACGTTCCGGCAGTACCCCGGGGGACATAGACCCTCTCAGCGTTAATAAAGTCGTAACCTAGAAATTATAACCCGGCATTTGTACATTCGGCGGATTCGCATTCTTTGTTAATCTGATGATATTTTAGGTCCGAGTAATAATTAATTACTGCTTCTAGGCTTTAACGGGGGATTTTGTGGTTCAGAAGTTTTCGACAACCTTTTCAGTGTTTTTGAAGGTGTAGCATTGAATCTCAAAGAAATACCGGGCAGTGTGATAGATCCTGCACATAACCTACCTAATAATATTAATAACGCTGTGGCTATATGCCCGGCAGCCGGGCACGGTCTTCCATTTCCTAAATGCCCGGCAGTTCCTAACCCTAACCCTAACCCTAACCCTTGTTTACTTGAGATAACGCTGAAAATTAAAAACTGCCGGGCATTTAGGAAATCGAAGACCGTGCCCCGCAGCCGTCAGATATATGCCGGCTGCCGGGCATATAGCCACTCTGTATTTATAAACGACGACACTTGTTGATCTCTGACTAACTCAATTTCCTCCAGAAGTGGCAGGGGTTTAATGTTACATTAAAAAAAAGTGGGGTAAAAAATCGAGTAACTTGGTATTTTCACCCAATAACGTCACACCTATGCGCAAATTGCAGAGAGTTTTTCGCCATCACACCACCGGCTGCGATTTTCGGTGATGTGATCTACAATTTTATTTTACCGATTAAATTTAACGGTTATTTCTCTAATGTTTCAGATGTTGCGGCAGCCGTTCAGGCCGCGGGAGAGCGCGAGTCATCGTCACATGGTGGTGGAGCGGAAATGTCCCTCGGCATTGAGGAAACAAAGTGTGTATACCTCCCTGCAGATGTCAACGCTGTCACAGTTCACACCTGTCGCATTTGTAACCTCGAAACCTCCTACATATTAGTCTTCAAAGTCCAAGGGACTATTGTAGAGCGTAGTTTGTATGTTATAATTTAAAGTATGAATAATCAAGAAGACGTATAGAATTTGTGTTCACTAAAGAAATATATTGTTTACAAACAACCGTCAGCCGTCACGTCACGTCTTCCTCGCTCAACCGTCACGTTCAAATCCTCCTCCACTCTTTATATATGACTCTCTCGTCTAATCACAGCCCAGTTTCCCTTTACTCTAACCAATCACACACCACCACCCTCTCTTATTCAAACTATTACGGACGAATCCCCACATGGCCAGCATGTGTGTGAGTGTCAAACTAACTCTGTAACCCATAGCTGCTAGTACCCCACCTAACTAATTCTTATCTACATGCGAAATGGTCGATCCTAACCTATGCTCCTACATTTACCAATTCAATGCAACATATGTAAAACAGCTGTTACACTATATCGTCGCCGGGAGTTCGTTCGACTAGACAGATTTAGCAGTTTGTTCGTGAGAGAACACCGATTTGTTAGCGTTTTTGTGTCACACGGAAGTCCGTGCGATTTTGTCCCAGCTAACGTTTTGATAAAAAATATCAGCATTTTTTGGCAGGAAAAACGTAAAAATTGTGAGTATGGGATTCAGACATGATCTAGAAATTTGTTTAAGAATACAAAAACTCCTCATGTGTAAAGCCTGGCGCACACGTTGCGGTTTTTCCCGTAAGGTTTTTCCCCGTCCGACCCGGCGGGTGAATTCGGAGTGTGTGCGGTCTCATTATCCTGCGATCTTTCCCGCAAGTGACCGGAGCATATCAAGCTGGTTTGATATCTCCTTCGAAAAACTGCACGGATAAAATTGGACCGCAGCGTGTGCGGTGGTCACCGGGAAAACCGGTTACACGGGCCAATCACCATCAAGCAATAATCACATGATCGACAAAATGGCAGCGCCCATGGAAACCATTGGTTTATTTATTGGTTTAGGATGCCCAAAATTGGCACACTGTTAGTTGATCACCCTTAGGGTGGCCTAAGCACATTTAATAGGTTACACTGAAAACTAATATTTAAAAGCAAATAAAATATTAAAAGTACAAATGCTTCGAAATGCTTGTTGTTGTCCTAGTGCGCAGTGCATTTTGCGAAGACTCCCACCGCATTTGTCCCGATTTTAATCGGTAGCCACATGGCGTATGTGGGTTACACAGATTATTTCCTTCTGGTGATAAAAACCGTAACATAGCGTGCGTGTGCGCCTGGATTAAGTAACAATGTGAACTTATCGAAAACGTAATTGAAACCTATCGCACGCTGTCACTATACCGTATAGGGAAATGACGTCTGGATAGACTCTAGAATGTACTCTCTAGGATGTAACTAATACCCAGCAGCTGTTTCATTTACATGAAGCTGTTAGTTTACAATTTATTGATGCGCAGCTTATGCTGTGTGAGATTCACAATACAACTAACTTAAAGTGTTTTTAAAATCAACATATCGGGTATAAATTAATTCACGTGATCTAGTTTAGGATGTTAGTTGTTTCTTGGAATTTCCATCAGATAGTCCTTATACACGCGATTTCAATTTTAATCTGATCTGACAGCTTTTAAATGTTTATTTCTTTCTTTTTCATCCCTTTCCAGCAAGCTTCGTGTGAGTTTGGGTCTGCGACCGCTAGACGTGACAAGTAGTGATGTCAAGAAGGAGGAAAAAGGTAACAAACGGCATGAATAACATACCAACACGATTGACACATTAGCCTAGAGTGAGTGACAGGCAGCTATAGCCAATCAGCTGTTGCTATACGGCCATTCAAAAAATCCTGGGAGAGAGCATCTTGTCAGAAACAAAAGAAGTCTTTAACAATAGTCTTAACAATAACTTCCAATGTCTAACTCAAGAAACTATTCGCGTTCATCTGTTCTATTTTCCCTTTTCTAGACCACGTGATTTTCTGTTTGTTTGGTGTAGAATCACCGAAATCAAGAGCCCATTAACCCCAGAGCGTACAACGCTGAAATAGGAAAACCATGGTGTCGTTTCAGCAAAATTAATAAAGTTTACCTACATTATTTTGATACTTCTCTACCGGAATATTATGCAGGCGGCATAGCTAGCCAATACAAGATCAACCGCTTGTCTCTACGATGTTCCTATGCTGAGATATAAAGCGATAAAAATCGAGTACTTCTAGGTAATCCTGCGCCATATCACCTAGTAACACGCCTCACCCGCGTTTAGTGACTGCATAGCTATATACAACACATATGTTTCTCACTGAAACACGACGTTCTCTTGTATTTTTTGCTGTTCTCACGGAATCACGCTGTTCTCTTGTCTTTATTTTCTTGGCAGAGTCTCTGAAGGACGACGTACACGTGCCGGCGGAGAACCTTGCAGCGAAGAAGCAAGCCGCGGCTCTGAAGGAGAAGCTGAGGCAGATCAAGGAGAAACGAGAAATCAACAAGAAGCTACAGTGAGTGAAGAATGTCTACAATACATACAGATCATAATTATTATATATATATAAATAAACATGTGATGGAAAAAGTTGTGTACGAAGGCAAAATAATTCAAGTAAAAATAAATATACTGTAGTTTAGTCTACACAAAACTAGCTTGTTTTTTTTAAAAGTATGTTTAAAATGGCATGTTCTCGCAGGAAAATGCATAGATATACTTACTGTGAGCTCGCCCATGTTGTAAAAATTTACTACATATTCAAACTTATTTGTATTGCTACTTCACAACATTTCTTCATAAAATCTAAACGAAAGTACTCATTTTTTTACGAAATTAGCACCACTGGATGTTTACACAGTATTTACACATCCGGTACACAGCCGAGCGAACGTTGTGTTTCATTTACAGTTATTTTCTGTGATAACACATATTATACTTTTTTGTTCGATGTTTACTCAGTACGAAATTGTGAAATTTGTTTAAATCATATGTCATCTACATTACTTATGCAATCAGAAAACAAATATATAGTTTTCGTTCCAGGAACTATTTGCGCTAGCGTAGGCCTACTGTTGGCTCTTCACTCCAACACAACTTGTGTGTATCTGTATGCCGAAAACCGGTTTTTAAAAATCCCAATGTTTGGAGCACATTTCTGGCTCAATAAGAACATTTCGTGATGTTTGCATTCTGCAAGTTGCGAAGTTTATCTACTTTAAAATATGACAATGTATGACTAGGTTACAGAATTTGTTAGTACTTACACGGCAGTGCAATTTGAATATTTTATTATTCATTCGTAATTCAGCAGTTAAATCATTTGCCAATTGTATTCGCCAAGTGCTCTTATTTCTTCGTCACATTTTGTGAAGGTGGCGAACGCCAGCTGCAGCCCTGTAGATTATGTAACTACGCATATAATTATAATATATATATATATGCGTGTGTGTGTATATAAACATTCTTGTACTGAACATACATATAAAAATGATTATAACTTGTTTTATTATATAGAAAATCTGTTAAGCGATCGCTCGCTGTGACCCCCGGGAAGATGTGTAAACATCAATGGCGCTACTTTCGAAGACAAGTACTTCTCAGTTAGATTTTTGTGAAGAAATGTTTATGAAAGTAGCAAATACAGATGAGGTGTAGTGAACTTTTTCAAACCATAGACAGCTGTAAGTAAGGTTATCTTATGCAATTTTGCTGCGAGAAAATTCAGTTTTAACATCCACTTCGTAAACGGCGTTGACGAGAAAAAACAATGCATAAAGTACAACAAACGAAAAAAATCGCTCGGATATTTCCCACTCACTTGTACGAGAGCGCCCAGACCCTCGCATGAAATTTCAGATTACGATGAAATAATGCTTAAAGCATTTTATTATGACGTAAAATGTTGTTTTACTTATCCTACCGGGTCGTGAACGCAAACAAAACCATTTTACAAAAATGGTGTCTGTTCTCGTTTTGAATGTTTTGTCAGTCATGACAACTCACGGTCATGTCTTGGATTGCAGAAGTATAGAATAAATTCAATAGACTGTGTCGTTTTTTAATCAAATATTATTTATCGGTGTTAACTCATCAATAATATGAACAATTTACTCGAATGTACAACTAAATGTGTATTGACTTTGAATTTTGTGATTGAATTCTCAATCCATATAAGCAACCTTGTGAATCAAAAATTATGAAAGTTCCGTTATCGTGAGTTTTTCTCATTTAGGCTGTGGATGCGTTTTCTGTCAACGCTAATCCGTAAACATAACATTAGTCGTCAGTGCGGCCATCTTAGCATTACAAATTAGCAATTAACTTTAGCGATATTTCTGACAAAGGCTCACTGGTGGCTTACTCACCTGTCCTTTGAGTTGTGCAGAATGAAGCGTTGCTGGCCCTCTAGCTATGTCCTTCTGCGCGATGCTCTACCGTTGATACGCCTTCAGGTCACGCGACGTGTACGCCTGCGGTAGACGACAAGTGAACGCCTGTTACAGCGCAATGCCTGCAACCTTCTACGACAAAGCAACATCATAATCGTGGTAAAAACATTGACATACAAAGAGACATTGAGCCGCAATTCGCCAGTAATCATCTAGATTTGTAGCGCTATATTCCCCCCATTGGAAAATGACATTTGAAAATATCCAGGATATTCCGGGTATTGTGGAGCAGCCGTGAAGGCGGCCCACTACTGTCTCGCAGCTTCTCCCTTGTCTCCGCGAAACTCTGGTCTCCACTAGCTCCGACAGGCGACGATCGAGGAACTGGAACGTGGTTCCAAATTCCTCGTCCATCTCCTGCCAGTAACCGCGCCTGCAGCAGCAAACACACATCCAATGTTGTTATAGACACACACGCACGCACACACACACACACGCACATACATATGAACAATTCTTGCTACTCAAAAGTTTCATCTCGTATAAAATCACGGGTATGAAAATATATAACAAGGGCTTCTAATGCTAATTAGTTATTTTTAGAGCATTTCTGGCATTTGAATGATAGAATTATCTGCAGTAAGTCTGACATCATCTAACAGAGGGTCCATCTAAGGAGAATATCATCTAAACACTATCTGAACATCATCTTAACATCTCACTGCTCAGTGCTCGAAATAAGCGCTTGTCCGGTTGATCCGAGACAACAGAATTTGCGCGCGGCAACCTAACCAGTCCTGAGGACATTGTCCGGTGGAACAACCAGAAACATATCCTAACCATAACACATAACTCTAAACCGACTACGGGATATCTATAGACGCGTGGTTTACCATTAATCTATCGGTGTATAACTTTTGCTTTCATATTTTGCCATCTGAAACTGACAATCAAATCGCCAACCAACTGGTGTTTAGGCTAAGCGTGGCACAATAATTGTTCAGTTTCATACTTCAAATCCGAGTGTTTTCTAGCTCATCAAGAAATCTTAATCATGAAATTAAAGTCGTGAATATAATAAAATGATGGACGCAGCTTGCTATTTCCAACACTGGTATATGTCAGGTTTCTGATTTATGAGAGGTGAACTAGAATTTGGAACGCAGCAAACCAGCAAGTTTCTTCTAAAATTTTACTGAGGGGAGGAGCCTATTGCCCGTGTTTTTTTCACAGCAAGGGGGACCCTCCTCCTTGGAATCCTAGACCGCGCCACTGAACACTTACAGTATCTCGGCGAAGCAGAGAACAATGAAACAAAAATGTCGCCTTTTTCGCAATCGCGACCCAAAACAAAGATTGCAGACCTGAGAGGTAGAGAGCCGTAGGGTGTGGAGAGGAGGCGGAGGAGCCAGTTTAAAATATTAAGTCATTGCCACTATTTTCGGCAGTTCGCTGTTTTTTGGTCCCCACTTGTTAAAAAATCCTGGCTACGCCACTGTTTTGGGTGTTTTCTGATCATAATTATTATGTGATTGAAAAGGATATTTTGGGATATTTTTTGGGACACCAGAATTGTTGGCGGACAACCCGATTTGATGCCGGGGTTGTCGCGCAGGACAACCATTTTTTTTCTATTTCGAGCACTGCTGCTAATATGCCTGTTAATCCTGTGCTACAATCTGCACACAGATGCGCGCACAGGGGGGGGGGGGCAGGAGAGGAAGCCAGTCTATTAGGCCAAAATAAATATTGTTTGTTTGCCCTCACCCGACCGACCGCCAAAAAGGGCCGACTCAAAACAATTTTATTGATCTTTCCCATTCTTTTTTTACAAATTGTATTACTGTACATTATATAAATCTGTAGGCAATACATTTATGTACGCAGCAAAACAAACGTTCAACATAAAATGTATCTTCCACACAAGCACACCGAGCATGTAGACACCATACTGATTAGTAAAAAAAGAAGCCTACCTACCTACCCAAACTTTCAGCCTGGGTCGGGTGAGGGCAAACAAAGATTATTTAGTTGTGGTCTTAAGGCCAAGACGCACTGCAGCGACAGCGACCGACCCGTAATGACAAAAGCATTTCAGAAAATTAGAAACTATTGTTTCCTATGAGCCATTGACACACACACACGACAACGACCGCGACAACCTCGACGGCAAAAATATTTAGGAACGTTTTAATTTCCAGCGACTGTCGCCCCGCACACTTTTACAAATAGCCATCACAGCCGTTTCCATCGGCACGTGACATTACGATTACGTCATAAATAACCAATAATGCTAGCCAAGACGTAAACTGGTCTCCGGCGCTAAATTTGCGCCGCATGTCACAAACAATGGGCCGCGAACCAGTCTAACCAAAGCGTGCAGCTGTGGTAAGCTACGGTCACTGTATGACACAGTACGTACATGATAATTTACTGCGTATATTTTACTTTATTATCTTATCCTTATACCTAGAGAGTTTTTGCAGCCTGTTATTTAAAAGCAGCAGCAGGAGTTTTTGCCGTTTGTTTATGTGATGATGTGTGCCACTGTGGCGAGTGCTGGGTGACCTTTGACCTAACGTCGGTCGCTGTCGCTGGAGTGTGTTTGCGCCAGTCGCCGCGACTTTGTCGTTTGTCGTTACGGCGTCGCTGTCGCTGAAGTGTGTCTTGACGTTTAATGTCCTAATGCCCGGCTGGTCGGCAACGAGTTAAGGACAGGGGACCAGTCTAACGTGCGTGGAGGGGGGGGGGGCGGATGTGAGCGAGTGATAGCCTACCCTCTTCGCTGCCATGTCCTTCTGTATCTGATTCTTGCGCAGATTCTCCACCAGGCGCAG